GGTATAGTAATGATATGGCTTTATCATACTGCACCAGCTGATAATAAATTATTTTATGAATTATTTGATAGGTCTGTAAAGGAAGAAATATTCTTAACCGAAATCGAAAAAGGACTTGATTGCATTTCGGATGATGATAAGGAACTTGATCCAACTGTTGTAAGTTTCGATGATACATCATTTTTCTTTATTGAATTCTTAAGTTTTGAAATCTGTCTAGAAATTGCATTAATAAAAGGTGAAAATACGGGAACTATATCTAATCGTTATGCATGAGATAATTGATATCAGTAGTAAAAATTAGTAAACAAAATAGATAATTATGAACTAAAAAGGTTGAATTTGAGATTTTTTGAATTTAAAAAGTAATTTGGAAATTATGATTTAAAATTAAAAAAAAGCGCGGCGAAATTTTGAAAATGAAATCAATCAATTCAAATATTAAATAAGCTAGCTAAGATATAAACGAAATCGATTTCTTATTAAATATTAAGTAATTTGAAATTAAAGAACAATTTATCGAATTGTTTATATAATTTTAAAATGAAGCAAAAAAAGACGAAAACTATGTATAAATCAAATATCAAATGAAATCATAAATGAAATCCTTCTTCTCCATTATCGATAACAGATAACAAAACCAAAATTTTGAGGAATGTGATAATACAATCAATCGATCAATGATTAGCCGAAAATGGCTTAAACCACTATTAATTATTTGGATTGTTGGCCATGTAATTACATTGTTTTTGTTCGGATTTATTAACAAAGGTTTTTACAATTAAAAATTGAAAACAAAAATAACTGTATATTAAGCAAAGTTATCTAATAATTTTCAATCACTTCCAATACTTCTTACTAATTCAATTAATTAGCTTAAGTATAAAATTTAATCTTTACAGTCCAAATTTCCCTTTATGCATTGCTGTACTATCTCCTACCTTTCGAAAATTATCTACTCATTATTTTAAAAGATAGATAATTGAATTTGCTATACCTTTTATTATACACAAATTATACT